CAATGCTTGCTGCTAAGCAATACTAATGCGCATAGTACTCGAAAAAAGTATTCAATATTACCATGGGCAGCAGCACAATGAAGAGGTGTATGATCAAAATTATCCATGACATCTATATTGGCGCCTTTGTTGATGAGAAGTTCAGCAACATCCTTGTGATCTTAGAAATAATTTAGATCGATGAAAAAGATTAAACCGATTCTTTATTTTGTGAAAATAACTATTCAACATTACCATATTTAGCAGCATAATGAAGAGGTGTATTCTTCGAATCATCTAAAATATCAGCGTTAGCTCCATTCTTGAGAAGCACATCAGCGACACCTCCGTGACCTAAAATAATACCGATCAATGAAAGTGATCGACGGGATATCTGATTTAGTCAACCTTACCATGCATAGATGCCAAATGAAGAGGTGTCTGATGCAAATTATTTTTAATATTAAGATCGTTTGCTTTACGGATGAGAACTTCAGTGACGCTCTTTTGACCTGAAAAATAATTCAGATCGATGAAAAAATTAAACCAATTTCCCATTTAGTAGACATCACACACAACTCTGACACCCGTGTATGTATGCTAGTCGGTTTTGTGTGTGAGTTGGTTGCGTTGGCTGCACATGCGACGTTTGTTTGCACGATAGTTGTCTGCGCGGCAGTTGTGTGTGATGTCAACTGTATTGCATCGCGATATGCTCATCTATTGGCCGAAGCATATTCAATGCTTGCTGCTAAGCAATACTAATGCGCATAGTACTCGAAAAGAGTATTCAAAATTACCATTCCTAGCTGCCAAATGAAGAGGTGTATTCTTCAAATCATCTCCAATATCAGCGTTAGCTCCATTCTTGAGAAGCACATCAGCGACACCTCCGTGACCTAAAATAATACGGATCAATGAAAGTGATCGACGGGATATCTGATTTAGTCAACCTTACCATGCATAGATGCCAAATGAAGAGGTGTATTCTTCAAATCATCTCCAATATCAGCGTTAGCCCCATTCTTGAGAAGCACATCAGCGACACCCCCGTGACCTAAAATAATACGGATCAATAAAAGAGATCAAATCAATCGTTTCTTTAATAAGAATAAAATAAAATCGGGTCAATCTTTTATTCAATAACAATAAGTATTCAACATTACCTTTTAATGCAGCTAAATGAAGAGCTGTGACATTCAAATTATTTCCAATATTAGGGTCGACTCCTTCAGTGATGAGGTCTTCAGCTTCCTTCACTTTGCCTGAAAGA